GGGGGCGGGCGGACGGACGTGTGCAGCACTTCGTGTGGCACAAAGCCGCAGTCCAGGCCGAGCCGCCTAGTGGCTGATCCGACTACTGCCGGAAGCTTCCAGGGCGCAGGAGGAGTGCTCTCGAGAGACTTGCCTGCTTCGCATCATCAACTCTCGCTACTTCCCGAAACTTTCGCGGTTCGATTGAGCGGCGCGTTATGCAAGGCGAGGGCGACGGGGAGCCGGCAGGGGCCGCCAACTGCTGCGGCTCTTCTAACGGGGCCTGGGCAGAGGGAGCCTGCCTCCGGGGAAAGGGAATGTGGGACGGGAGGCAGGAGCGGGGAGAGCGGCGAGGGGCCTGACAGGTGTGCTGTCTGAAAACTCCTTAGCAAAAGGTCGAGGCCCGCCTGCCAGCATTTGACGGGTGGAGGGCTCAGCCCGGCTCCCGCGCCTCTGCTTGGACGGTGGAGCAGAAGGCCCCGTCCGTCCCACTCCCTCCAGGCCCAGGTGGTGGTGGGGGGGAGAAGCGTGGCAGGCGCTCCCGGCCAGGCCAGAGCCTCCTCCTACCCACTTGCTTTCTTGCGCCGCTCCACGGCCCGAGGAAGTCGAAGGCAGCCGTGCCCAACGGCTCTGGGCCGCGGCCTTTCACACCCAACCAGGGTCCCCTCTCAGCTGAGTTCGTGTGAGCTAGCTCACCGTCCTTTAGCCTCCGGCTCACACGTGTTTGCCTTCGCTCAGGAAGGAGGGCTCCAGAGCAAACTAATTCATGCAGTAGTCAGTTCACTAACTCACAACTTTAATGCCGGCAGCTCACAAAGTAGCATTTTTGCTCACAGGACTCCACAGCTTAGTGGGAGCATTGCGCCCAGCTCGCCCACCCCTCCGCTCAACTCCAGGAACCAGATCGGAAACAATCTCCGCCTTAAACGCATCAACCCATTTCCTTGTTTCCCGCTACATACAAGCAAGATTCCTTGCAGGGCTTAAAAAGGAAAAGCCACCACATTTGCCCAAATCGCAACACAAAACTTAAAAAAAAGAAGACCCCACCCCCCAAACCTGGAATAATTCGCTTTTTAAAAATAAACCACAACGGGAGGGAGGATCATAACTAATGGCCCGGGGCGGAGGTGGGGGGGAGAATGGGGAAAACCCGAGGCCTCCACGGCCTTACTTCAAAAATCCGCCCCGCTGCCCTTCGCCCTTCGCTCCTTCCTTCCTTCCGCCAAGCTCAGCTTGCTGCGTAAAGACCAGCGGAACATTTTGCCAGGTTTTATTATACTCGTTGTATACACAGACAATACAAACGGGCGAAAAACCAAAACATTCTCTTCTTTTTTTTTCCCAAATGGAATTTGCAACTTGTATAAATAATTATCCAGGTGCACAGACATAACAGAACAAATCGTTTTCGTTTGTTTTCGTTGTTTTTTTTTTAAAAAAAGCACAACAATCGATTTACAGAGAAGAGCCAAAAAATATGCACACGGTGAAGACCCTGAATTTCTAGCTGGGAACGAATCCCCGTCGACTGGGATCTAGAGTTAAATCGGGTTTTGCCTGATGTTTATTTCACGGTTTGTTGTTTTCCTTTTAATATATAAAAAAACCCGGGTCGCTCATATAGATTTCCTACACAAAATTCAAAGGCTTTCTACTCTACATCGACGGGGGGAATTGGGGGGGGGGGGGGGCCTCGGTCAGAGAGGAAATTCTGCTTACCCGAGAGGGAAGAAGAGACTGAAGGGGGGGTGAAAAAGAAAAGGGAGGGGGGGAATCACTCTGAACTCGCCCCGCCTAGTGCATTTCCCCGGGAAAGCTGGTTATTTCCCCCCCAGCAATTTACTTATGCATTAAAAATAAAAATATTTCGAAACTAAATGTAAGTTTCTTTTTCTTTTTTTTAAGTACAGCTCACAGAAGTCATTTTCACTGGACTACACTATGGGTACCAACAAGTCTGTCGTCTATTATGGGTTGTAGCTTGCTCGTTACAAAGATTTACAGCGATAGAAAAAACGCACGCGGGGACCCGAGGTTTAGGCGTTCAGGCGATCGAACTGTTCGGAGGGCGCGATCCAGCCTCAACGGAGCATCACTTGGGAGCTCAGGGGCCTTCAGGGAGGAGAGCGTGGTCTCTCCCCGTCGAGCTCAGCGGGACTCAGAAGCGCTGGCTTTGAGGCTGGCTCCCGTCCGGCGGCTGTACCCTCCCAAGCCCGTTGACTTCCACGGGTTTAGCAGGATGTAATTCTGTTTAGGGTAGATCCGTGTTGGTCTGAAGCAGCAGAATTGGCACCTTTAAGACCAACCAAGGTTTATTCAAGGGGTGAGCTTTCGTGTGCACGCACACTTTGAGGATGGTGCTGTCCGTCTTCTCTTGGCTTCTCTCGAAAGCGCTCTGGAATCAAACGCACGCGGGGACCCGAGGTTTAGGCGTTCAGGCGATCGAACTGTTCGGAGGGCGCGATCCAGCCTCAACGGAGCATCACTTGGGAGCTCAGGGGCCTTCAGGGAGGAGAGCGTGGTCTCTCCCCGTCGAGCTCAGCGGGACTCAGAAGCGCTGGCTTTGAGGCTGGCTCCCCTCCTCCTTCCTTGCTGGCCCGCTGGCTCTACCCGAGTCGAGAGGGCCGCGTTTAGGCACAGGTCATTTTAACCGAGGGGCAACGCGCCTGCCGTCGGGAGGATGCTTACAAAATAAACAAAGAAAGAAAGACATCGTGTGGAGTGGAAAGGGGGGCAGGGTGTCCTAAAAGTCTGTCTCCGAATTGGGCTACTCAACCGAGTTATTAAATAAGACTTGGAGGCCCCTAGAAAGAAATCCAGGATTAGGGTGGGGGGTGGGGGGAAGAAATCCCCCTGAGACAACTGAGAAAGATTTCCACTGACTCCTTCCTCAGGGATTTCTTCACCCAGATCGCTGGAAAAGAACAGCTTTTGAAACAACCTGGGGGGGATATTTGTAAGTAAATGCGTGTAGGATCGGGCGCAAGACCAGTCGAAGGAACTTCAAGCCCCGTGAATATCGGCAGGAGAAATGTATGCCCTTAACCCCACCGTGGAAACAAATGAGAATGAACTTCCGCTTCAGGCCCCGAATCGCGAGCTGTCTTCCACCGGGATCGCCTTCCTATTGAGTTCCACTGAATTCGGTGGGGTCTACTCACAAGTAAAAATGTGCCTAGGCCCCCAGCTCCAGCATCTCGCCGCCGCTTTACTGGCCTGCGAGCAGCCCTCTCGAGGGCTCCGGGACAAGATTCGGCCCAAGTGACGCCCTTCGAGGCCCCCCTGGTTTCACGGAGAGGCAGGCGCGAACGCGCTTCAGACCTGCAGCCACACGCAACACTTACCTGGGAGTAAGCCCTCTGGATCACAACGGGACTTACTTCCGAGTAAACGTGCCTAGGATCGCGCTCTTCCTGAAATCAGCGGGGCGTGGAGGTGCCTGGGTGGTGGCCGAAAGGGATCCCTTTCCAGGTACCTTCGGGAGCGAAAGGCCTGTCAGTCAAACCGGGAAGCCGCAGCCCGCCGCACCCCACCTTCAGCCGGACTCCTACCCCGACCGTTTCAGGTACCCTTAACTTTGTGGCTGGCTTGTGACACTGGCTCTTGTCTCTCCCTTCCTGAGCATTAAGAGTATTTCCTTAGTCAGGTTCCTCTTGGCCCCAGGCTGCAAGGACACATTCATATCCAAAAACTTCTGGAAACTGGAGGGGGGTGTCGTTTCAGGTACCCTTAACTTTGTGGCTGGCTTGTGACACTGGCTCTTGTCTCTCCCTTCCTGAGCATTAAGAGTATTTCCTTAGTCCAAAGGAAGGCAAACCTCTCCCCACCGCCAGTTTCCTCCAGATGTTGGGAGGGGGGCACGAAGGAAAAGCGAGACTGCTGGGCGGCCAGCTGGGGCCAACCCGCCCTCAAACCTTCATCCCCCGCAAGCGGGAGCCGGGAATGGGCCCGGGAGGTTACCTCGTTGGCAGGCCAGCGCTGCAGCCTCCGGAAATGCGACAGGCATTTCGGAAGGGCGAAAGGGTTTGGGGAGAGTTTTGCGCGGGGACCCTCGAGAGGGACCGGACACAGCCCTCCGCCTCAGTGGCCAGCGGCTGCCCCCTGGTGCTCGAGTCGAGCTGCGTCCTCAGAAGGCCCTCTCGCTGGGTCCCACGGGGCTTGCTCCCGAGCAAGTGGGCGCGCAACGCTGCCTCAAAGCGGATTCAAGTCCGCGCCAAATCTACCAAGGGCGGGGGCGGGGCGGGAGAGAGAGCGCTTCGAACCCGGCCTGGCGATTGCGAGTTGGCCCCCCAAAGAGGCCCGGGCGCTGGCAAAGAATAACGAGTCCGGATCGAGAGAGCTGGTGGGCGATGGTCGGTGTTCAGGGTCTGGGTGCCGCCCAGGTGTGGCCATGGTTCCAAGAGGAGCCCGAAAGGGTGGCCAGGCCAGGGCAATCCTGTGCGGATCTACGGGTCTAGACGGGAGTGCGGGAGACGAATACTCTTTTACAGCAAACCCCCCCCCCAAAAAAAACCCCACAGCCGTCGACCGGAGTCTTGCGGCGCTTCAAAAGACTGGCAAGATTTGATTCCCGCCTCAAGCTTCTGGGCCTCTGGTGGCATCTGAGGAAGGTGGGCTCCAGTCCGAACACCAGCTTAGTCCGGGATAAGCACTCGGGGAGGCGCCGAGGGGCCAGGGGACTCGGGTTCCTTTCCAGTTGCTCCAGGCCAGGCGCGCCACCCAGGCGCTGGCCGCTCCAGCCGCTCTGGCCGGGAGCGCGCCCCGGGGATTGGCCAAGAGCTGGCAGGAGCTGGGCGGACCTTCCGGCCAGTTCTGGTCACGGCCTCTGGAGGCCTGGGGGGGGGCTCGACGGAGGCAGCTTTGCTGGGGGGGTGTAACAAAGAGAGGGCTGGGG